ATATGCGGAATGCATCTTTTTCATGAGGGATCACGAGAATGATCGCGTTGCGATCGAACCGGGTGACATCAACGTCGTCGAGCCGAAGGACGATCCCGAGCAGTGTTTCTTTCACATCGGTCGACACAAGACCCTCGAAAAGGATGGAGTTCGGCGCCTTGATATTCCCGAGGATCTCGTAAAGGTTATACTCAGATCCTTCAATCTGATTCCTAGAAAACATTTGATCCTTAAGAGGCATTATCTCGTCTGGAAAGATGAACCAATATCGAACTTCACCGTAGTTCTCAACGACCTTGGTCAACGTCATTTCGGTAGAAATCTTAGCTGCACTCTGCTTCGACACATCTCACATACTGAACAGAGTCCAAAGCTAACGTCTCGTGGTGAAGTGAGAGCAAAGGCACAATACATGGGCCATAGCATGAGGACTGCGGATGAACTCTATAATAGACGATTCAAATGAGTGGGCAATTCTCTTCTTTCTGTACTTTGTGTGCGTTCTCTGAGGAGCAATTTTTCTATGTTAGAGTTATCAGGAGGCATCAACTGCACTCCAGCTATGGAATCGACGAATCACAAACATGGATCGACCACGTGTGCTGCTTGTCTCGAGGCGAGCATCTATAAGGACGAGCATCAGGCCAAGAAGAGAGAATATTCGAAGAGTTACTATCAGATACATAAAGACGAGATCCTCTTGAAGAAGGCTCTTGAACGATTGCGAAGGGAAGCAAGACAAGCAGACGGACGAGGCAGCGACTTTATGAGGCACAGGCTGCTCTTCCTTGGATTCGATCGTACTAGACAATTACACCTCTTTGGCAAGCGTGGGCTCCGTCGGGAGCCGCGTTCCATGTCAAAAATTTTTTGGGGTTGGAAATATAAGGAGGCTCCGAACCTCCTTCGGTCTGTTGAAACCATGGCAACGAACTCGATTGCGCACGTGTTAGAAGCGTATGCACAAGAAGGACTATACGCTATCCCGGCAAAAGTCAAAGCAACGGACGAAGGATCGAAGCACATTCTGGCAACGATGCCGCATGCGAAAGGCAATGACGCTATACGAACGGTGTCCGATTGGAGAATGGCAAGGGATCGAATCATGGAAAAGATTGAAAAAGATCGATTCAACTTTCTGGCGATAAAGACGGGAACCATTTCAGACATCTTCGTGCTCGATATAGACACACAAGACAAACTAGAAAAAGATCTCCAAGCTGGCATGCCTCTCTGGAATAGATTGATTGCGGAACACGGAGAATCAGGCACTTTGAAAGCCACTTCAGCCAGCGGAGGCCTCCATTACTACTTCTCGTACGGTGAATCACTCAACGAGGGACTCCAATCAGGGAAGTGTTTCGCTGGAGTAGACTATGAGGGCCAGTATTGTGGAATAGATGGGCGCGGAGACGAAGGCGTTGTTCTGGCCCCGCCAGGCTCACCTCAGATTGGATTGAATTACACTTGGTGCGCACAACCCTTAAGGACGAACATCCGACCAGCTCCATCATCGTTGATCCGATTTCTCAACGATTCTGCTGAGAGATCCGCAAACAAGAGTCCCGTGTCGACTTCGAGCGATCGAATTCAAGATTTGTTAGCAAACGGTGCTGATATCAAGCAAACAAGGGGGCTTGAATCAAGCACCGTCGAAGAAACAATGCGAGTGGAGGTGGATACCGATGACTCACACAATAGACAAGCACTCCAGCACAAGAGGATTGCTGATGCGATGATGCAGCTGTTACAAGACCGTGCTGGACTCGACACGGAGGTTCGCTTCTCTGGCAACGTGACCTTTCGCGGTTCGTACGGTATGCTCTATTCATTCATCTGTGATGGTCCTCGAACCTGCATACATGGTCATCAACACACTGGTAGCAACGATTTGACTCTTGTGAAGCGAGAATGGACGGTGTTCTATCGATGCTTTGGCTCCGAATGCACCGAGAAGCCTCTTACGGAGCTTGGCAACATTCCAATACCAATATCGTTGTTGGATGCAAATCCTGTACGTCTGCACCCGGCTCATGATTGGAGTACCTTTCCAAATAACATAAGAACGATGTTGCAGGATGCGGTGGAAGCACACATGAATCTTATCCGACGTAACGTGACGCAGCGCTATCGAGGCATGGCTGCGATCTTCTCGGCCATGTATCTCGTTAATTGACGGACGCATCATTGCTGAGGGCAAATGCTTTCACTACTGAAACGGTCGCAGATGGATAATCGATAACGCGTTCCATATACAAACCGTCTTCAGTAACCACATGGCTCGTATCATGACCTGGTATTCGAAACAGAGATTGAAAGCTTTCAAGCATGAGATTTTTGCACATATGAGAGGCTCTGCAACAGAGCAGAACGTCTTATCAACGCTAGAGTCAGTTCTTCCAGATTGGGCAATGAACCCAACGACCGAAGAAGAAAGAAAAGCATGCAACACT